GCTCAGCTGGTCACAGACTCACGGACGGGTTTGGGGTGGAAAGGATTTTAAAGCTCCTTTCATTCCACCCCCTGCCATGGGCAGGGACACCTTCCACTCTTCCAGGTTGCTCCAAGCCCTGTCCAACCTGATCTTGTTGAGGGCAAAGGCTCCAGCATTTACAGCCTGGTTTGGGGCTGGGTTTGGATGTTCCCATTAAGTCATCACAAAAATGTATTTCAGGTTTTTGAAGACTCCTGGGGAGGCTGGCCATGAGAAATCCAGCAAACTGGAGCAGCTGGAGAGTGAGGACCATGAAGATTTGAAGGAAGACCCACTGGAAGTTTCACCACAGTAAATCTTTGCAGGCTTCACTTCAGTGCATCACAGGGACACTTGTGCTTTGCTGGGCAGTGCTGGTGTCTCTTGCCTCTCCTGGACACAAGGCCACAGAGCTGGCCTGGATTTCAAAGCCTGCTGTGAGCCAAATCTGGGACATCTCTGGGGCTTCATTAGCAAAACACACCCAGAAGCTGTGCCCCACCCCAAAGGCACAGGGGGATGTGTGGACTGGTCTTCTGCTGGTTCCTCTCCTGCCCTGTGGGAGGGATTGTGATATTTTTGCTCTGAAATTTTGATGCTTGTCTTTAAGGTCCAAACCTGTGGAAAAGATCCCTCTGTTCCTCCAGGGAGATGAGCTGAGCTGAGCAGGAGCTCTGGGCTGAGCACCTGCTGCTCTGCCTGGGCAGTGAGGGCTGTCCCCAGCTGTGAGCGAGGGCACATTGCAGATGTGGAGCATGCTGGAATCTCTGTCTCCTGTGAGGTTGCTCCTGGGATTAAGGTTAGGAGTGTGCTGAAATACCTGCCTGATCAGGCCTGGCTGGAGCTCCATGGTTGCCCATAGCTGGTATTCACTTTAACTCCTTTCCCTCCAGGTAATGACTTTTGTAATTAATTTTGTGATTAAATAATGTGAAAAGAAACTAAGCCAGTAACAAATATGACCCCACCTATGGTCAGATATGTGATTATTTGTTTTGAGTTTGAAGCAGGAATACCTGAAGTGAACAGTGTGTGTGTGAAAATAGAAAATACCCACTACTATTTTCACTTCACTTTCCACAGAGGAAATAAAATGCTGTGACTGTAAGGTTGAAAATCTCACTTCTTGCTGTTTGAAGGTCTGAAACTGGGAAATTCAAGCTTTCCTCATTTAAAACCAGCTCCTGTGGGCACCCAGATCTCCTCCCCAACATCTTCTGGCAGCTGCTAAGCCGGAGGCCACCAGTCTGAGCTGCTCAGCAGCTGCTGGGTGAGCACAGCACAAACACGTGGTTTCACCATGAGGTTTCCACCAAAACTGGTTACTGCCAACCTGAAACTACAGTCCCTTTGGCTGTAACTGGGCTTGGTCCTGCAAAACTACTTTACACCTGCAGCCTGGAGATGCTAGGTGGGCAGTAGCCAGTAAGAGACTGTGGTGGGATGGGTGGTGGCTGGATGGCAAAGCTTCAGCAGTGCAACATCTCTGGAAAACTGCCTGAGGAGATTCTCTTCCAGGAAAAATCACCAGCTCAGTGGCAGAGCAGAGGTGCTTGAAAATTTGAGTGGTGGAGGAGAAGGAAATGAGGAGCTTTAGTGGGGCAAATGAGTGTGAGGTCACAGCCTGGGGGAGATCCTGGCTAGGAAGGGAGGCCACAGTCCCTGCTAAGAGAGGGGGCTAAAGGTTACCAGCACCCACCCAGCTGCAGCCTGGGGATGCTCCACAGCAGGAAGGTACAGTGAAGCACCCAAACCTCATCCCTCCCTCCCCAAAGGATGCTTTTTGTCCCAGGGAAGAGTCAAACCAAATCTTTCTCAGGGTGAAATCCTTCAGCTTTGGTGGGACAGCAGATGTCCTTCCTTGGGAGCTGTGACATCCATGCCCTGTGCCACTCCTGGGATATGCACCCACGGGTGCCTTTTTCCTGATCTCCTCTTTCCACTCCACTTTCTTGCAACAGAACCAGCCCTGATGGCTCCTGAGGATCCCACTGCTTCTTGCACCTGTGTGTTTGTTTTGTTGGAGCAGGTGGCAGTTGGTGGCCCTGGCTCTTGTGCTGTGCTCACAGGGAGTGTGTGAGGTGACCTCTCTTCACCTGCTTTTCCCGTGGTGACTAAAGATCACTCTGGGCTTGGCTGGGGATTTCCTTTCCTGGCTGGGAAGCTGCCAAAAGCCCTCAACCCCCCTTGTGCCTCCCTGAGCAGCTCTGGAGGGGTCTTGGGTGGTGACAATCCAAGGCCACCTTTGGAAGGGTGGGTTGGAACGATGAACTTTGTCCACGCTCCTAGGAAGCTTTCATGTACCTCCTGGAGAAATACCTGTCTTTCCCTGTGCCAAACAGAGGCAGGAGGGCTGTAAACCTGCAGATTTCCTGGAACAGGAACCCATCCCTGTCAGTAAACAACGAAATAACCACTGCTTGTGCCAGGGAGTTTGGTGTGGGGGTGTGGGGAGGGACAGCACACGGCTGTCGGTGACTTCTGGCATGGCTGGGGTTCAGGGGCCGTGAACACAGACAGGTCCCTCATGTGGGCTTTCCCAGAGGTTTCCAGGTGCTTCATTCCCTGGAGAACATCAGCCACCCTTCAGCGGCCTCACATCTGCTGGTGTTTGGGGCAGGGCATTGCACATTCCTCATCTGCGGGGGGAAGCAGCTAAAACCACCCCCGGGGCTGGAGGAAAAGAGGATTTGCTTTGGGGGCTGATGCTCACCACCCTTGGATCAGAGGAACTGCAGAACTGGGCTGAGAGGTTTCCACTGAGGCCATGTGTTGGCTGGGGCAGGGAGCAGTGGCTGCCCTCCACACCCTGCCATGGTCCAGGTGTTCCCCTCCACACCCTGCCATGGTCCAGGTGTTCCTCTCCACACCCCCACCATGGGTCATATTCTTCTCTCCACACCACCATCATGGACCAGATCTGCAGCTGCTGTGTTTTTGTGCCCGGTGGCTGGTTGGTGGCTCGTGGCTGGTTGGTGGCTTGTGGCTGGTTGGTGGCTCGTGGCTGTTGATGACTCATGGTTGGCTGTTGGCTTGAAGGGATCTTTGTGGTCAACATCAAACACAGTGGCCTCCTACACTGGGTTAGGTTGGCTGTGGCTTTGGCTGGCCAAGCCTAGAAGATCCCCAAGGGAGGTGATTCCCAACCCCTCTAGACACCCATGTGAGATTGTCCCAGGCTCCTGCATGGGAGAGCTCTCCTGATGTCCAGTCTCAGCCTGTGTCTTCCCAAGCAATTCAGGGCCTTTGAGCCCTGCCTTCTGAACCTGTTGTTGCTCTCTGCACCTTGCAGTTCCATGTGGGGAATGCCTCTCTCTTGTTTTTCTCTGTCTTCTGAAGCAATTTCCGGCACAGAAGCCGCTCATCCCCTGCTGTGTTCCCACGGGTTTAGTTCTGCTTTTCCCCCCAGCGTCACCGGCCTGAAGATGCCAACCCCAGCACTGGGTGCTCCCCACTTTTCCTGCCTGCATCCTCATTCTCTCCTAGCACTGAAAAGTGGATGAAAAGTTTGGGTGCAGATCTCTTGCCTCCACTCTGGTAATGGGATTTTGGTTTATCTGTCTCCTGCGTCTTTTTCTTGTGCCTCTCTCCCATTAGGTTTGAACATGTCCCAAATCCCAGGAGGAATCTGAGCTTGGATAAAGGTCTCGGTCCTGAATCACATTTCAGGTGAAGATTTTTCCTGGAGTTTGGCTCTCCCATCTTCTGGCTGTGTCTGGAACAGGCCACGCATCAGTGGAATCATGAGCAGGGATGGTGTTTGGACTCAGCCTTGGGGAATCTCCAGTAGAAAGATCTCAAAACTGGAGATGGCCAAACTGACCCCCATGGCCCGAGTGGACGTGGATTTTTGTTTTATGGAAAACAACAGATTGTGAAACTCCTCCTCATCCCCTGGAATTGACTTGCTCATGGAAGGATGTGGACAAGAGCTGAGAAGCAGCCTGGAAGCTCCTCACCTGTTTATCAGTCGATGGGTGTGTTGAAAAACTGAGCCAGATAATTCCTGATCAATACCAGACTCTGATCCAGCCGTGTGGGCTCAGGAAAAATGAAGGGATGCAGTCTGGACCTCTCCCAGTCACAGGAAATTACAGCACAGAGAGTTTACTGAAAGAGAAATAAAACAGTCCTGATTGCAAGCTGAACTCCGTATCAGGAAAAGAAAATCTTAATCCAGGAGACACCTCGGCTGAACATCAATTCCAGCTGAAAACAGCGCTGCTCCGGTGGAAATACTCCCGAGGGGTTTTCCGAGAAGGGCTTTTCCAAAGCCTGCGTGCCTGCGGCTGCCGCCCCATCCCTGCGAGCTGCAGTGCGGAATTTTGCCATCAGATGGCAAAGCAGCGATGGGGAGTAGCGGGAAGCACCTGCCGGAGGATGCCACAACCACGGGAGGGGCACTGGGGTGGCCAAACGGAGCTGTGGTGTCAGATGTGCTCGGCCCGGGCGCTGTTTGTAGGCGTTGGGCTGGGCAGATCTGCCTGGTGGGAGATTTTCCTTCCCTGGATGAGGCTGAGCAGGAGCCACGGGAGTAGGAAGGATTTGGGGCAAGAGCTGGTTTGTGTTTTAGGGTGGAAGCACGAGCTGTCTGAACCCAGGGTGGGTTTCAGGGGTGTTTCAGCCCAGCCATGCCCAGGGTTGTGCAAGAGCCTGACATTGCCGTGTCCCAGAGTGTCTGTGGCCCTCCGGGAGCTGCCTGGGAGCTCCAGGGATGTGAGCAGGGCACTCTGCTTCCTGCACTGAAACCCTGCTCATCCAAGAAAGCTGTGACTTCCCCTCACAGAAACAACCCAGAGGAGCCCATTTCGATCATCACACCCAGTAAAAAACAAGCCAAACCAAACCCAAAGGCAAACAGCTGCCTGAGATAGCTGGTCTCAAAGGGCAGTGCTTACAGCAGGTGACAGGTGAGTCTGTGTTGTTTTGCTGCTACTTGTCATAAGGAAATTGCTTTCTCCTCCAGTGAAACTCACGCCCGTTGATCTGCACCACGAGGGCGGTGATAGCGGGGATCCCAGGCGGAACCTTGGCTGCTCTCCTACCTGAATGGCTGCTAAAAATAGGACTGAACTCAGCCACCAGGCTATAAAAAGGCACTCCCAGGAGAGCCTGGGATCCCTCAGCACCCGTGGCCCAGGAGCTCGCCTTGAGCTGTGTCCAAAGGAGCACAAAAAATGATGGAAAGGTAAAAACCAAACCAGCAAATAACCAATGCTGTGGTCAATGTATTGGAATCAACCAAAGTAGGATGGGGGTTGTGGCTTTGCCATGAGTAAATTTAGTGGGATGATTTTCTATTGAGGGTTTGGTGGGCTTTGGTGTTGGCTTGGATGAAGGGAACGGAGTTTTTGATTACAAAAGCAGGCCGAGGTAGGGTGGGTGGGTGTGCTGTGTGTTGTGATGATGATCTCTGCGTCTGAGCAGAGGCTGATTCCCAACTCCAGGGTGCTTTGTACAGCCAAGTGTGCCAGATTTTGGTGCTGGTTCCCCATGTGCTGTTGAGGGGTGGAGAAGTTTGGTTTGGGTCTGGTTCTTTGAAGGGTAAAATTGGTTATGGAAGTAAAATCAGCATGAGGCACCATCCTGGCTCTCCGGTTTTCCAATAGCAGTGTCTTTGGTTGAATTTTGCTTATAGATGTAGAGAAAAAGGGTGGTGGGAAAGGCAAGGATTGGTGCTCTGAGCTCTGTTCCCAGCCCTGTGCTGGTGGGAGCTCACAGAAGGGCTCTGTCATCACAAGGTGACCAAGGCCACTTGCAGGAGCCCACATCCCTTGGCCTCTCCAGGGGCTGGAATGATTTTTAGCAGCCAATACTTTAAGGGGAAATACTCTAAATTCTGGGTTCTGTGGCTCACTGGGTGCTCCTGGGGTGTGGTTTTTCATGTTGGTGTGGGAACATGTTGCCACGGGATAATGGGATGGTGTCTGGGTGATGTCCTTGCTGGATAAAACCCCCTGGGTGATGACCAGGCTCCTCCTCTAGGATATGCCCAGTCCATCTCCTCCCCCTCCACAGTTTCAGTTCCTTTACCAACGAGCCTGTGGTTATAAAACCCTGCGTGAGCCATCTGCATCTGGAGCACTCAGATAACAACCATAAAACGCACTGATCATTAACCAGGAGCGTTAAAGACCCCAGACTCCCACAGCACCCCTGTGTGCCAGCACGGGGGACATTTCCATTCACCCCAACTGTGCAGTGGCCTGGGGAAGGCAAAAACCAGACTGAAAATGTTGTTTTTCTCCACAGCGACACTCGGGCTCCAGCTGAGGAGATGCCTCAGTGGGACGTGGGGAGGCAGCCGTCAGGCAAGATCCTCTCTCTGGACAGGCGAGAGGCCAAGAAAGTGCTGGAGATTTATGTCAAGCGCTCACTGAGCTGCCATGAAAACTCACTGGTGGCCAAAAAAACCCTCCAGGAGAAAGACAGAGGGCGAGGGAGGAAAACGGATGGGCTACAACGGTCAGAAAGTGATTTCTGCACGTACTCAAGTGCCAAACCCAGTCCCAGGAAGGACCAGGAGGAGAGACTCAAAGCACCAGACCTGGAGGAGACTTTGGGTGATGACAGCAAAGCTGCCCAGGAGGTGCCTAAAGAGGGGCTGAAAGCCAAGAGAAAAAGCACAAAGAACTCTTCCCAGAGCAAAACACAGCGCTCGGGTTCAAAACCGGTCTGGCTGAAAGGTTTCCTAAATCTCTTCTTGAAGAAGAGCCCTGAGGACCAGAAGGAAAACACAGGGCAAAAAGCAAAGGAGAAAGATGTCAAACATCAGGGCTCCAAACCAGAAGGAGCCAAAAAACACAGAGTAGACTCCAGCACGTCCCCAGCACTGGGCAGAGCCCTGAAGAAGAAGCCCAGCCTGAAGAAGGTTTTCTCCCTGAAGAAGCACGGGGAGGAGGAGCGGGGAGAGCCGGGATCCGGGGCGAGGAGCAAGCGCCCCAGCTGCCTTCCCCTGCGGCACGTCCTGGCCCCGGCCCAGCCAGGTGGGACCCACCCCAACCCTGACCCACCCCTGCTGCCAGCAGGACCCTGCTGGGCTCCTCTGGGGAAAGCCATGGTGTTTAGTGCTGGTTTCTAACGCCCTCCCAGGGTTTTCTGGGGCCTTGGGAGAGGTTTTGGAGACTCCAACCCCAACCTGCTGCCCCAGGAAGGGTCGTTGTGCCCGTGCTTTGAGCACAGTCACCCCAGGTCAGCTGTGGGCAGCTATCACCAAGCGTGAGCTTTCCTCCTCTGGCAACCAAGGGTCACGGTGGTTTAGTTGAAACCTGAGATTAGATCCCAAACCACTCTAGGGCCAACGTTAAGCTGCTTGAGGTTTGCCTTGGGGCTGGGCGCAGGCAAAGCCTGCAGGACTCCATCCCCAGCCCAGCCCTTCCTGTGCCAAAACTCTGCCCAAGATTAGATCCCAAACCACTCTAGGGCCAACGTTAAGCTGCTTGAGGTTTGCCTTGGGGCTGGGCGCAGGCAAAGCCTGGACACCATCCCCAGCCCAGCCTTTCCTGTGCCAAAACTCTGCCCAGGGGATCCCTGAGGAGCTCTGGCAGATTGAGGGCAGGTCGCAGCTGCTCCATTGCTTCCTTCACCTTCGGAATGCGCTGAGCCGGGGTGGGCACAGCTGCTGACAGAGCCAATCCTCACTGCTGGGTCTGTGTTTGTGTCTGGCAGAGGCGGAGCAGCCCGATGGATGCTACACCCAGGTGTCCCAGGACATCGGGCTGATCGTGCAGGGCAGCAAGAGCCAGGGGGACACAGCAGGAGAGCGTGGGGAGCACCCAGAGCCCCCCGGCACCGACGGGGTTGGTGAGTGTTGGAAACAAACGTGGGGAAGACTTGTCCCCTGCAGAGTCTGCATGGCATCCACCCCTGCTTCAGGCCTGGTCCTGGGGCTTTTGTAAGCCCCAGAGCTGGATGGAGACTTTGTGGGAGATTTTCAGCATCAGGGTTTGACTGGGGGAGAGGGAGATTCACAGAATCCCAGAATGGGTTTTGGGTTGGAAAGGACTTTAAAGAATGCCTCATTCCAGCCCCCCCTGCCATGGGCAGAGACACCTTCCGCTAGACCACAAAAAAGACAAAATTCAGGGGTAAAAGAGTATTTTTGCTGGCTGAGGGTAACAAGAGTAACAAGGCACATGGCAATAGGCTGGGTTTTGGAAGGATGGAGGTGGATAAACATTGTTCAAGGAATTTTTCCTGGGGACTAAACAGAGCATCTAGATGAGGCTTGGAGAAAGGTCTGGAGATAACCTGGTGTCTCTCTCTGCAGATGAAGCCATCAAGAGAATTGTTGCTCTGCTCCGGAGTGCAGGAGATGAGCTGGACAGGGAGGTGAGAGAGCTGGATGGGGCTGAGGGAATCTGGGCCAAGCTCTGCACTGCTGTAAAATAAATACAGCAAAACCATTGATTTCCCCAGGGCAGGAGAACACTCAGGAAAATCAGGAAATGCCAATTTTTAATTCCTTGCCTGTGATTGTGCCTGGCTGTCTGTCCTGTGCCAGCTGCAGTCCTGGTGTGGGGTGAAGGTGTCAGCACGAGGGTGGCACACGGAGCCCTTCCCTCACTTCGTGCACTCTCTTGTCTCCCACCCAGGTGAGGGAGGACGCACGGCTGCAGCTGTTCTTCAGGGACATGTCCTACAGCTCCTTCAAGAGCCTGGCTGACGCCTACGTGCAGAGGGAGCTGACAGCCAGCAGGCCCAATATCAACCCCCAGGAGATCCAGTTTGCCTACACGGTCCATCTCACCGCCACGGTGGCAGGGATCTGCAGCCAGGCAGTGAACAGGATCATGGGCTTTGGCACCCGGTACCTGGATGATTCCTTTGCACCCTACGGCAAAATTCTCCAGGTAAGGAGGAGGATGAGCCTGGGGCTGAGCTCCCAGCAGCAAGTCAGGGCAAGTGCCCTGGGAAGCTGTGGCTGCCCGTCTGTGGAAGTTCCAGGAGAGGGCTCAGAGCAACCTGGGGTAGTGAAAGGTGTCCCTGCCCAGGGAGGGGTGGGACTGGACTGGGATGCTTTAAAGGTCCCTTGTAGGCACACAGTTTGTGGTGGTTGGGATGGGGCTGGCCCAGCCTCACCCCCAGTGGGTGCAGTGGTGGAAGCAGGTGAGCAGCACTGACAGCAATGAGCCATGGAGTGCCCAGGTGTGCTGAGCACCCACCAAAGGGAGCAGAGGGCACACGGGTGCACTGCAGGAACCATGAGGGGTACAAAAGTTTGGCTGAAGAACAAGAAGAGCAGATGTTTGAAGCCTTCTGAAATTGTATGGTGATACTCTGTGTATTGTGGCTGTCTCAACTGTGCTGTGACAGTCCTTTGCAATCCAAAGTATTCCATGATTCTGAGAATATTTCTTCTGTCACAGCAGAAGAGAGAAAAGCTCAGGACAGACCACTGTGACAGCCCAGACTGACAGCGGCTGCTGTGAGGGGCCTGTGGTGCCTGGGAAGTCAAGGATGAACATTTGTGGTGGGAGGACAATCCCTGATGGTCACCTGGATATGGAGTAACCTGAGCTTGAGTGGATTTAAAATCTTTTCAGGAGAACCAACAGTGTGAAATGCTTGAACTCCACCTGTCCAGGGGTGAAAAGTCAGTAAATCAAACAGAGCCCAAATTTCACCCTGTATTTATATTTTAGCTCCTGCCAACTGCTTGTGTTGAACCTCAGGGTTTGTTGCTGCTTGTACACATGTATTTATTTACCTGTTTTCTAAATGTATTTGTGAATGTACAACATAATTTTTGTAGTTTCTGCTACCAGCTAAGAATCCAGTTTGAAAAAAATTCTAAAACTCAAATAAATTGGTGCCTAAATGCCAGCCAGGCTTGTCTGCTGGGAGTTGTGTTATAAATAGAATAATGTTTGCTTTGCTCCAGCTGCTGTGGGCTGCTCCTTTCCAGCCAAATTCCAAGTGGCACGAGGGACTCTGAGAGCAGATACACAGTGTTGTCCTGCCATTTTTACAATTTATAGGCCTTCCTTTTCCAGCAGAAGGAGATTTACTACCTAGAGCAGCTTGATCTGACACCAAGAACTGGGTAAAGCTCATTCCCAAGCGGTGCAGGAGCTGTAACATCCTCAGGGACTGAGGGGATTTACAGCTGCTGGGGTCTCACCTATGAGCTCTAAGAAGATGTGAAATGCCAAAGACATTTAAGCCCTAATCACTGGGAATGTTTCCAGCTAATCTTTGCCCAGACCCCTAAGTAGGGCCATGGATTAAGGCAGCTCTGGGCTGGGTGGGGGGATTGCCAGGGCTCGGTGTGGTGGCAGCAGCAGGAGCATCTCCTCTGCAAGGGTGGAGCTGTCCTGGGGTGAAGGAGATGAACTTTTTGGGTTTGCATTGTGCAGGATGGATGCTCTAGTGGGTTGAAGGTGATGGTGGTGTCAAACAAACGTGTGGGCGTGTGTCACTGCCACATTTGGGGTGAAAATCCCCCATGGGCCACTAGTGACAGGCCCAGGTCTGCCCAGCATCTCCTCTCCTGGAGGATCTGAGCTTCTTGGTCCTTTTAAAACCCAAAGTAAATGAAAAAGGGGAAGCAGAGCCCTCACAGGACAGAAGCAGCTCTTCCCCACCCAGATCCACGTCCCCATAACCTTCAGGGCTGTGTTTGACAGCCACAGGATTGAGTCACCAGCTGCCGAGGGAGGGGGGACAACATGCAGGGCCCCATCCAATTCAGCCTGGGGTAATTAGAGTGTGGAAAACATTAAATCCCACTCCTGGCTCCTGCCAACAACGAGTGCAGTGTCAACACTGAGATCCCTTTTGGCTGGAAACCAACCCAGGAGATTTTACTGTGGGAGAGACTGAAACCGCCCTCGTCTGTTTGCAACAGTCCCGACATTCCCATTCCCTGCCCAGACCCGTGGGGTGCTGGTGCTGGGGATGTGGTTAGAGGGTCAAAGGATGCCCCAATTTGTTTTGCATCTGAGCTCGTGCTGTGCCAGGGATGGGTTGGGATTTGCATGGAGCAGAAAAGGGCTTTGTCTCCTCACGGACTACCCAGGGGAAAGTAAAATATTCTCTGTCCCAGAGGTTATCATCTTCCATCAGCACGTGGGATGCACCTGCCAGGTGAAACAGCAGAGATGAAAACTCCCAATCCCTTCTCCTGTGCCATTCCAAATACCACAGCTGAACCAAACACTCTCCTTCTCTGCCCACGGGACATTTTCCCACCCATCGGGGCAGCCGTGCTGGGGAAACAAGGAGCCAAAACCTGCCCCTTGCACAAGAGGCTCCTGCTCTCAGAAAACTCAACCCAGTGTGCAGGGATGCTGCTCAGCTGGGCATGGTGGGATGAGGTGGGGAGAACCACAGCTGCCTTAGTGCAGCACCCCAGGGCTGGTGGCTTTTGGAGCCCAGGTCCCTTCCCAGCACCTTGGGTTAATCTCCTGGCTATAAAATTGGGACCCAGTTGCCTGTGACCACTGAAGATATTAAGAAGGTTTTAAAGAAGGGCAAGTTATTAGTCCTGGGGGTTTGAGCCATTTCCAGCTCTTGGCATTACCTTCATCCTGCCCTAAACACCCCGTTGTGGCTTCCCTCAGCGAAGACAATCGCCTCGCATGAAAATCCCCAGGTCACGGCCACCGGCCATCTGGGCAGCCACATGATCCTGCCCGGGCAAAACACAGCCCTGCACAGCCCCCAGCCCACCCGGGGCTCCTGGGAGCTGGGGGCTTTCTCCCCACACTATCCCAGGCTGCTGCAGGCATCCTGTGTCTCCAAAGCCATCAGTCCCCACTAATCCTGCTTTGGAGTGCAGGGGCGGGGGGAGGGCAGCTTAGAAAATCAGCCTGGCACTTAATGAGCCAATTAATGCAAAATTTGCTGTCGCTAAGAGGATGATGACAAGGTTTCATCTCACGGGAGCATGGAACTGAGCCAGGCAGGATGATGCCTCCTGGATGCTGTCCCGGGCTGTGGTGCTGGCAGCTGGGGAGGGTGCGGGGGAGATTTGGCACCTTGACCCTGCTGGAGAAGCCCCCGTGACTGAGTGCAGGACAGAGCTGTGTGTGGACAGGGGAGTGTGTTCCCACAGCTCCCATGGGATCATTTATACCTTTCCCAAACCTTGGCAGTCAGGGCTGGGCACGGCTGAGGAGGTGCAAGGGTTGAGTGAAGCAGGAGCATCCTACACCTCTTTATGCAGAGCCTGATGGAGTCCCTGGGGGCCTGAGGCAAGCAACAGGAACAGTTAATGCACAGGGAACATGGGAACAACTCCTTACAAACCCTCTGCACTTCCAGTGCCCTGGCGTGTCTAGACAAGTCACAAAAACAGGTGATAGTTTTGCCTTCATGAACTTGCCAATGCTGGAAGAAAATCCTTTAAATGAAGGAATTTGCTTTCCCAGGGGCTGGAGGAGCCAGTGGCATGAATTACACAGATCAAAGCTTTGATATCTCCAGGAGGCTGGTGCAGGGGCTGGGGTGTATGGGAGACTCACTCAGCAAGGGGATCATGAGAAACATCAGACAGTAGAAAGACAAGAAATTAGGGGCTTCAGTAAGGCTGTGGATCCAGAAGCCCTAATTCAGGCAGTTGTTCACCTCCAGGATAATCCCATTCATATTCATTCAAATATATCTTGGTGCTGGCAACCTCCTCCTGTGTGTCCTGACATCCAGGGAGCACCAGAGCCCAGCCTGGGCCATGCTGTGATATCTACCTGGGGGTTCCAGGCAATGTCCACCTGCTGCTCCTGGTGGCATTTCAACCCAGGGACATTTTGCATGTCAATGTGGGGGACTCTGCTCCAACTCCTGTCTTGGGAACACAGTCATCACTGGAGAAGGCAGGGAAAAATGTATGAAAATTTGGGGTGAAGCAGCACTGCAAAGGTGGTATCAGGATGCTGGGATCATGCTGTGGTTCCCTGTACTGTTCTGGCCAGGCTGGTGCATGGACACAGGGAAGGAGAGCCTTGCTCCTTACCCACATGCCCATGTTGTGCTGTATACACAGCCCTAATTCTAACCCAGGGAATGTTTCCTCTCAGCATGCAGCTCTATGGATTTGGACAACAGAAACGACACAATATTTATCAGTACTTAATAAATACATCTGTTAAAATGGTAATTTTTGTTCTGTATTTTGGCAGCAGCATTGGAATCTTCAGGCTGAAAAGACAAGAAATCTATGGCATTTCTCCCTGGTTTTATAACCAGGCAATGAAGACAGTTCAAAGGCAGCTGATTCTGGTTCAGTAAGCACAGGTTTGGGCAAGGTGATGCTGCTGTAGGGCTTTATTGAGAGGGGAGAGAAAAGCAAATCCAGGTCTTTGGTTTTTGCCTGATGCAAACAATAATCAAGGGTCAGGCAAGGGCAAAACCCTTCCAACAGGGAGCAAACTTAAGGAATATTTCCAAACCTAACCCAGTGTAACGCCCTGCATCCACCCCTTGTGTAACACCCTCTGGCTTTAAGTGTCTTATACAAGTCTTTACTCACTCAGTACTGAGCTGTGCCTAAGCTGGGATTGATGGAGAATCCAATTTAGGAAAACACCCTTTGATGAAGAAAGGATGAAGCGAAGAGGAATTTTTGCACGGACGTTTCCAAGTGTGACGGGCACAATAACACCAGGACCCTCTCCGGGAGGGCTCCTGGGGCACTGCAGACCTGTTGGCATGAGAGGGAAGCCCTGATTCAGCCCTGAGCATCTGAGCTGGCTGTGGTTGAGGATTATAAGAGCTGTTTTGATCAGGGGAAAATTTCTGTTTTTAGCACAGGCAGCAATTAAAATAGCTCGCGAATCTCAACGCCTCAGGGAGCTGTCATAAAAGAAGGCAGAAAATCCGTCTTCTGGACTCCTCTGCAGCTAGAGATGAGCCTGGAGGCAGCAGAGGAGAAGAAAGCCTGAGGTTCACCTGGTGGAAAAGGACAACCCTAAGACGTCGAGCCAGATCCACTGCTGTGATCCCGAGATGGCTGTGGAGGATCTCCGGGCTTCCAGCACCCCTTTCTCGCTCTCTTTTTCGGGCAGTGGCTTCCTGGCCCTGTACCAGGTTGGGGTGGTGCAGTCCCTGCTGGAGTTGGCTCCCGAGCTCCTCAAGTCTGCCTGCAAGGTCTACGGCTCCTCGGCCGGGTCGCTCATCGCTGCTGCCGTCGTGTGCGGTGTCGGCCTCGGTAAGAAAACCCCGGCCTCGAGTCCTTCCGGGAGCTCTTCTGTTCCAAAAACCCTGGGGAGATGCCTCGGGGTGTTGGGGGGCAGTGGGGCTGGTGGAACTCTCCTCGCTCACCAGGCATTACAGAAACCCAAGGTGTTGCCACCTTGGCAGCCAGCACGGCGCAGTTTTGGGAGGTGTAAGCTGAAAAAGCCGGTTCTGACAGCCTGAGTGTTCCCTGGCTCAGTGGGCAGAAATTACAGGGGGAAATCTGGATGCACCTGTCATTCCAAATTCCATAGGCTCCTTTTCCTGCTCCTGCTGGAGGAGTAGATCTCCTGCCCTTCTGCTCTGGGGGGTGCTGAGGTGTGTCCCAATCCAGCCCCTGTCTGTGCAGCCCCAGGGGCTGGATTTACCCATGTAAACCCTCTTTTCCCTATGGATCAGGTTTCTTGGGATGTGTAGCTATGAAGGGACACAAGTGGCTGTCACACAGGTATCTATAGAGTTGACAGCCTTGTTTGCATGCCACTTTGGCTGGTCCCACTCAGCCTTCCCAGGACAAGGGGAGATGTTGTGTGATTCCCAACTCCAGGTGCACCTTTCCCCGGTGCTCCAGCAGGATATTCCTGGAAGAACAGCAGTCTGCTCCAGACCAGGGCTGAAATTTCTCTTATTGCTGCTAAAGAGGTTTTCCTCTGACCCTCTTTCAACCATGTGGAAACAGGCCCCTCTAGCTACAAGATCCTCCATGTGTAGAATTAATTCACAGTAGTTAATCCACTTTTAATAATCACATCCTCCCATATTTCCAATTAAATACACTTGTTTACACTTGTGTAAACAAGTGTACACAAGACTTAAGGCTCTAAAGCCTGATCCAAGTTCTGCTTCAAGCAATGGGGATATTTAGGAGGAGCAGAAGGTTTTGGGGACCAAATAATGATGGAGGAAGCTGGGAGGGAACATACGGTTCCTGAAACCTCTGGTGGATGCTGGAACTGTTCTGCAGCTAAAAATAATTCAAAACATTGGCAAATATGTTTAGACAAGGCAGAAAGGAACATTTCTGCCCACATGGGGATAAACTCCTCCACAAAAAAGCAAGGGCCCCAAAATTTCTGGTTCCTCCTGCTGCTGTAATGGATGGGGATGGGGGTGTCCAGCAACAAAAATACCTTCAGCAACAGCTGTTGCTGGTGGCACCAGTCCTGAACTGGATCTGAAATGGAATCTGCTTCCCTGGAGGTGGAAAGCACCATCCACTTAGAGGGGCTGAGATGATCTTGTGCCCAAAATATCTTCCCCAGAGGAACAAAAGACACTTTGAATAGTGATGACTCTGGTCAGGTTTCTAACAAGGAAACTGAATGTGGCACAAGCTCTGTCATACTCATAGTGGGGATGACTGGGTCAGAGAGAAGGTGAAAGGGGCGTTTGGGGTCTCACGGGTGGCTGCCCGTCCCCTGCCCTGGGCTGTCTGAGGAGCTCTGAGCTCCCAGAGCCAGGCTGTCCTCTGTGACCCCACCAGTCACCTCGTGGGGACATGCTTGTCACCAGGCTGGTGCAGGCAGGGACAGTCACATTGCTGCCAGGCTCATCCTTCACTCGCTCCGCAAAGCTGCGCTCGGCTCTCACCTCTTACTCAGCAGCTTGTGGGCAGTTTTTCCATGTTTTCTCCCATTTCCAGGACACAGAGCAGCCAGACAGGGACCTGGGCGTGCCCCTCCTCCCTGGAGGTCAGGCTCTTTCAGCATCCCCTCTGTGCAAACCCGCCCAGTGTTAATCGTTGCCCCGTGTGGCCTCAGCATCTGCTCAAACACACATGACCCCTCTTAACGCCTGTGTTGCTCCAGTTGCCTTCAGGACACTGCACTTAATCCGTCTGTCTGTCCACACAATCCCATGAGACCACACGGAAACCTCTGCCCCTGCAAAGCCTTGGTGCTGAGCCAGGCCCGTGGCCTCGTGCTGCTGCAGGGTCCCAGGGAGCCCACAGGAGCCCTTGGTGCACGGACAGCTCTTTGCAGCTTTGGTGCTGGACAAGCTTTCACTGCAAGGGTTTGTTGGGGTATTCCCCCAGATGAGCTTTCCATGTCAGCAAAGGCACCAAATTCCTTCTATGGGATCAGGCTGCCTGCAGAGTTTGCTGCACTCCTCTTCCTTCCCATCACTGTGAAACCTTTAAAACCTGGAGTCTCCTGAGCCCTCAGCCGGGGCTCCAGGGCTCTGCTCCTTTAACCCAGCTCCTGGGATGTGCAGACACATGTCATGGCTATTAACACCTCCCTGGAGCTCAGGTGAGCCAGGAATGCTAGCAATGTGGAGCCAGAACACCTGGCAGAGACACCTTCACTCCCCTGGGCAGAACTGGTGCCCCTCATCCTCACTCAGGAGCCAGCCCAGCTCCCTGTAAACCCTGGGGCTGCCCACGTGGAAAACTGGAGGTGGAAGGCAGGAATGTGTCGTGCAAGTCACGTTGTCATGGATAACTGTGTCCCCCTTCCTGGGGCTCTCTGGAACTTTTCCCTAATCCTAACCAGGCACATCTTGAGGCCCCATCCCTGGTGCAGGTGGGGATTTCACCAGTGGGGTCACACAAGACATGATGTCCTTTGAGGACATTATGGGGGTCATGCCCCCCTTTCTGCCCTGCCTCAATGTCCCCCACTGTAGCAGCAGTACCATCCTGGGGTAACACAGAGGGGCTGCAAGAAGCTTTATTTGTGAGGAGTGTTAAAAATAAGATTTAAAATATAACTGTTAGTGCAGCAGGAATATTGACTTTCTCTCCATTTTTACCTCCCCTGTTTCAGATGACCTCAAGGAGTTTTTCTTTGCACTGGCAACAGAAGTCAGGAAAACCATCCTGGGCCCCCTCTCTCCGAAGTGCAGCTTGCTGGCCAATCTCAAGGCTGTCCTGCAGCGGATGCTGCCGGAGGATTCCTACCTGCTGGCCTCGGGGCGGCTGCACATCTCACTGACACGGGTGGTGGACGGCCAGAACGTCATGGCCTCTGAGTTCAGCTCCAAGGAGGACCTCATTCAGGTGCAGAGATCTTCCTCTGGTGCTGTGGGTGTGGACGTGACAGCCTGGTCAGAGAGTGAGAAAACTAGATAAGTTTTCCTAGAATCAGCCTGGGAGACTTTAGGGAGTTGGAGATAAACAATGATACCCAATTATTAAAAAAACCTGCAGGTGTTGTTTTCCTAATATCTGTTTGCTTGTTATTCTCATAAGAGTGTTTATAAATGGGCATCTTGTTAATTAGCCAGTCAGGTGAAATGTATTGATTAAATGACCAATCGGGTCCACCTGTATCGATTGGTGTGTAAAAGAAGCGGTTCCAAGTAAGGATATGTGTTTATGCCACTCAGCCTTCTGACTGTCTCCTTGTCATTTCCTGCTAAACAGCGACATGGGGAAGGTCTCCACTGTCTGCCTGGGATGGACATACCCCAAGTGCTGGTGGCTTTAACTGCACTTTTTCTACCTGAGATGGGGAGAGAGTCAGGAGGCTCTGCCAGAGCCAGGGTCCCACCCCAATGGGCTCCATGAGCCTGGGGGCAGGGAGGAAGGTTTGAGTTCCAGGATCAGATGGAACAAATCATGCTAAAAAAAGCAGCAGGTTTGTTTCCAGCCTCATAGAGCTGATGCTGGAGCTCTAATAGTGACTTTGCAAAGAGCCCTGTCAGTGCTGATGTGACCTCTCCTCAGCTCTCCCTACAGGTCTCTCCTCAGCCATCTGGCAATGGTTTTCTTGTTGCCTCAGCATTTTCCTGGGAGGAAAGAGCTGGAAAAAGCTGCTGCTGAACAACAAGCAGCTCATTAACCAGTAAATTATCTGCTGGGGGGAGAATACCAGAGTAAAGTCCTAACAGAGCTGACCCTGAGGTCCTGGGTCCCTTATCCCAGGGAGACAGTAGAGGATGGCAGCTCCAGAGAGGTGTTGGAGTTCACCCCATGGTGCCTCCTCTAGGTAGCTCAGGAGCCTGGGGTGCTCATTCCCAGCTGATGACATTGGTGGGAAGTGGTTGCAAATGCCCCAGCAGTGGCTTTACCACTGGCAAATCCCAGCAGGGTGAGGATACCTTGTGAGGGGGCCTTGGTTTTGTCCAAAAACCTGCAAAGATGGAAATTGGCCGCAAAGCTTCAGCTTGCCACCATCAAAGGACAGTGTTGGAAACAGACGTGTAGATTTACAACTATTAATTCTGGCAGCTATAAAATTAAAAAATGCAGTGTTGTGCCCTGCTCCAGAGAAGTGTTTCCACTTCAGTGAAATCAGATGTTTTCCCTTTCTTGAAGCCTTTCTTGCCACAGTTCCCAGCAAAGTTCAGGTAGTGCCAGCAGCCTGGTTCCAGACTTTGTCAAGGCTGAATTTTCAGCACCAAATCAGCAGCTTTTGTCCAGAAGAACTTTGACAGGAACATTGACTTCTGCAATCCCTCTCCTCCCCAGGCTCTCCTCTGCAGCTGCTTTCTTCCAATTTACTGTGGATTCATCCCTCCATCCTACCGAGGAGTGGTGAGTGATATTTCCACTAAAACACACACTCCCAGCAGAGTGTTCTTGGTTTGAACTTTACACTCCTCAGTAAAGGAGGAGTGTACAGACCAGGGAGGGATAGGTGTGTCTAGGCTTTTCCTTTAGTTGATGGAGGATGATAAAGCCCATCAGCTTATTCTTCACCACATCCTAAGATGACAGCTGGGTGGAATTGCCATCTGGAGAGCCCTGTCCTGCTTTGCCCATGGACAGAGTGTGGATGACCTTACAGATGTCTGAGAGAGATAACAGGACACCCACAGTGGGAACCTTGAGACACAATCCAGTTATCCCGGGCAGGGCCTGGCTGCAGTGCAGGTTCATCCCTCGGCTCAGGTGCTGACTTGCACAGCTGAGACATCAAGAGTTCGTGGGAGGATCCTCCCCCAGCCCAGAGCATTTCCATACTCTGCTTGTCTGAGGGAGGGGAAGGAGGAGCTCGGCAGTGTTTTCCAGTGGCAGTGTTTTCCAGTGTTTTCTGGGCAACCTGTGCAGGGCCTCACCATCCTCACAGGGAAGTATTTCTTCCTAGTATTCCATCTAACCCTAATGGCAGTGGGAAGCCACTGCCCACTTGTCCTGTCGCTCCATCCCTTCAACTCCCTGTCACTCCACAGGGACTCTAAGGTCCCTGGAAATGTTCAAGGCCAGGTTGGACATGGCTTGGAGCAACATTGGATAGAGGAAGGTGTCCCTGCCCATGGCAGGGGGTGGAATGGGATGAGCTTTAAGGTCCCTTCCAACCCAACCCATCCCCAGGTGTGTGATTGGTCTGTGAGGCCTCTCTGCCCTGTTATTTCAACGCCATTTAATTCCATCAGCTTTAACTTCCAATCCCATTGAGGTGGGTGGTAAATCCAGATTCCTTTTGGAATAGAGCAATTGACATTTTCCTTGCCCAGTATGTAATCCCTCATGAATCTGCAGGCAATTATTAAACATGGGGACTCTACTGCTCAAGCTCAGGACTTGAAAGTTATACAACACTGTGCATTCAGTGATGTCTGAATTGGCTCTTGACTGCCAAAAATTGTTGTACAAAGCTTTGTGAATGAAAATAATTATATTTCCATTTTAATAACTACTGTGGATTACGGACCTGGTCGAGGAACTGACTGGGTGTCACAGGCAGGGCAGGGGAAGGAGCTGACAAAGGGATAAAGAGCACAGGTAGAACAAGACGCTGTTGGAAGTGGGAAGGGAGGACAAGCTGGGATGGGCTCACGACAGGAATGTCACCTGTGCAGCTGCTGGCTCCCAACTCAGTGACAGCACAAAGGCCCCAAAGCAAACCCTGCCTCTGCTCCTCCCCCAGCGCTACGTGGACGGAGGCTTCACGGGCCTGCAGCCCGTGTCCAGCCTGGAGGAGCCTGTGATCACCGTGTCCCCGTTCACCGGAGAGCTGGACATCTGCCCCCGCGACTGCCCCGCCATCTTCTTCTGCTTCCAGATCTTCAATGGCAGCATCCAGATCTCCATAGAGAACCTCTGCAGGATCAGCTACGCTCTCTTTCCACCCAGCACCATGGTGAGCCCACCAGGACTTCTCCCAGCTTAGTTCTGGTGAAAAGATAAATGCTGCTCCTGCCCTCTCAAGATTTAAAGTTCAGCTCAACTTCCACTGTTAATTAATGGGATTTCAAAGGGAGGGGACAGCACCCCCTGTTTTTGCAGTACGTTTTGGGGAAAGGACTGATGATGGGTAGCCAGCTTGGGATGGGGTCCACAACCTGCAAAGGACCAGACAAAACCAGGTGATCTCTAAGGTCCCTTCCAACCCAAATCATTCTGTGTTTCTCCGACCCGTGCTGTGGTGTTTGGAAACCAACCAGTGCTTGCTGCCTTCCCAAATGGGCCATCCCAGCCCTCCACAGTCAAACAGCTTTGGATAGATCCTGTAGTACTGGGGTCAGGGCTCTTTAATGACCTCGAGTGTTTCTCCTTGCAGGTCTTGAACGACATTTTCTCCCAGGGGTACCAGGACACTGCCCTTTTCCTGTACAGGAACAGTAAGTGACACCCCAGGACCCGAGGGGCGCCTCAGTGTGACACAAACATCATCCCCTTCTCTCCGTGTCTCCCAGATGCCTTTGGCTTTAACTACTTCGACGGCAATTTCCGCTTTGGCAGCCCCTGTGGGAAGAATGACTCTGGAAAATCCAATGGGACACACCCCGGCCTGTACAAAAGGGTCCCTCAGTGCCTGACCCCTTACTTCCTGCCAGGTAGAGGATTTGGGGTGCTCAGCTTGGCTTTAGGGCTGCTGCAGCCTTCAAGAGCAGCAGTGTTATATTTAAGACATTACTGAGTTATTTATTAAATATTTCTATTGCAAAGAGACTTTGTAAGAGTGGCTCCAGCTGGGCGCTGGCCTGGGCTTCAGTACCTACCTGAGCTGGGCAAGAGGAGTTATTGCATTTATTTTACAGTTTGTAATTATTGGTCTTTATTTCCTTCTGTGCTGTCATTCCTGGGTGCAGGCTTGTGGAAGAAGGAGCAGGTGAATGGACTGCAGGACCCACTGGCGAAGGTCCTGCTGCAGCCATACAGGCTCCCAGCCTTGTTCAGGAAGGGGTAAGAACATCCCAACAGAGGCTTTATGGAGTGACACACAAACCAGGGGCTGTGCCTTTAGCAGGGGCTGAAGGGACACATGGAGGGATTTGGTGTTCTCTGAAGGCAAGATCTAAGGGAGAGCAGGTACAGCTGACAGGAATGCCACAGCATCTCTTGGTTATGGAAAAGATTATTACAGTGTGCATTTACCATGAACACCCTCCCCTTTTGCTGCCTTCAGCCATCATTAAACTCAGCCTGTGTACTTTGCTTTTGCAGGGTGAAGAAGGTGTGGGGACTGCTGGAAGGTGTCGGGTCCCTGGTACAACAACTCCACAGGCTTCTCCAAAACTTGGTGCCTGGTTTGCCTAAGACAGCCGTGGACAGGAGGAGGTGAGGGGCTGGGGGGGTTCCAGACATTCAGCATAAATAGAGCAGGGTGCAGAACAGGGAAGCTTTGGGAACATCACCCACTGGGTCATTGATGGTAGGTGTGGCTAAAAACTCCAAATTTGGAGTAGCCTACATTAAAAGTAGCTATTTTTTTATCCCTGTGATATTATTTTGATATCTCAAAGGAGCTACAAACCAGCTTAGTGCTACCTCCCTATTGCAATCCATTTGTGTTCCAGGTATTTATCTGCTGGGCTCTGTCCTGACAGGACATCAGGCACATTCACCAAGATCTTGAGAGATGTTCTGGCACTAAGCTCTCAGGGATTTAAGGCACATGCCCCCAAAATCTGCTTGCAAGTTCCCTCCTGTGCAGCTGCCCAGGAAACTCAGAATGATTTTGCCCTGAGACAGCTGCAAACTCCTCAGCTGTGAGAAAGGCCTTTGGAGTCAAACATTCCTGGGGCTGCTCATCCCTGCCAGTACCTCCACCCTGCCTCAGCTCTCACCTTGTTCCCACAGGTAACAAGGATTGTCCCAGCGACGCCCTGGGGGTCTGAAGCGCTGCCTCGGAATGTGGTGGGCAACACCAGCACACACCAGCATGGCTGCTGGTTCTCGAGGGAATTTTTGGGGAGTATTTTTTTATTCAGAACCTGTCTGGTTCTGTCTGCAGTGCCGTCACTGCAGTGTCCCTGCTCTGGCCTCACCTGATTTTCCATGATGGCCGAGGCAAAGCTCCCGTGCTGCCCCTGGGACCCACCCCAGGCTGCAGAGGCTACGGGGCATCTTCACCTGCAGACCTCACTGCAAGTCCTTTCCCGGCCTACTCCATCTCCTCCCCACCAGCAGCATCACTTCCCTGCTTTAATGCAGATTACAGGGTGGGCAGTTGCCAGGAAATGCCATGTTTTAAGTGTTTTCCTCCCATGCAAAAACTTCAAGAGAGATTCCTCAGAGAGAGAAAGAGAGAGAGAGAGAGAGAGAGAGAAGCCTTAGGGAGCATCATACTGGGCAGGAACTAATTTTTCTACAGTTCCCTGAAGTTTTTTTTTAAACAATTATCAATCCTTGAGCTTCACACCTGCCCATAGCTCTGCTTCTCCTGCCTGTGGAGATGGGAGTGCATTTGGATTCCCCTGGAACTTGCATTGTGCAGAAGGATGGAGAAACCTAAATATTAACTTCCCCCTACTTCTGAGTCCTGCAGGCTGCATCTCCTGACATTTCACAAATATGTGAGTTCTTCTCATGCAATTGTCTGTAACTCGTGGCCACACACAGAGCATGGCCCAGGCAAACACACCCTGTGTCACTGGTCTGCACACAGAATTAATTGGCAGCACTCTTAATTATCCCAAAACTGCGCTGCATACCAGAAGCTGTGGATTGGCTTTGCCCCAGTGTGTCTCCCCTGTTTGTTGGTTCCCAACAGGCAGCAAATGGATCCCAACAGCAGCAGCTGTTAATTAGAGGAAATAGCCTATTTAATTGGACAAAGGGAAAGGAACAGAGGGAAGTTTCATCCAAAGGGCCATGGAGATTGCAGGAATGAGTGTGGGGAGTAGCTGAAGGCAGCTTTGATGTAACCAGACTCAAAGTTAACTAGGAGTGCTGTGTGAAAGAAAGAAATATCCTATGCTCTCCATCTTTGGTTAAAATCAGGAACCTGGGAATACCTTCTCTGGAAGGAGTTTGCTAAAAGAAACCTGGATGCTTAATTCATAAATCATTAAATGGTTTGGGTTAAAAGGGACTTTAAGGTCACTGAGTTTCACCCCCTGCCATGGAAGAGATACCTTCACTATCCCAGGTTACTCCATGTTCCATCCCACTGGGCCTCGGACACTCCCAGGGATCCAGGGGCAGCCCCAGCTGCTCTGAGCACCCTGTGCCAGGGCCTGCCCACCCTCACAGGGAAGAATTCCTTCCCAATATCCCACCTATCCTTGCCCTCTGTCAATGGGCAGCCACTGACCCTTGTCCTGTCCCTGCAGTTCCTGATGAGGGGTCCCTCTCCAGCTTCTCTGTAGCCTCTTCAGCTCCTTGAAGGGGCTGCGAGGTCTCCACACAACCTTCTCTTCTCCTGGCTGAACAGCCCCAACTTTCTCAGCCTGTCTCCATAGGAGAGGTGCTCAAGTCCCCTTGTAACTTTCTATGGCCCATTTGGATGGATCCTGTTTGCATTGAATCCTGTCTTCCATCCATCCTGGATGGATTTACACCTCTCAAGCACTGCAGCCAAAGGCAGGCTGCTCAAATCCAGCTCTTCCTGCCACAGGGCAAAGTGGAAGGCTCAGAGGCACTCAGGCCTCCCCAGGCAGGAGCTATGAGCTCATCATTTGCTTTTGCACCTCTGCTCCCTCCCACTTATCCAACAGCTCCTTCTCCAGGCTGCTGCAAGCACCATCCCCACCTCCAGGCAGGATATTACCATCTCAGTCAACCCGAGGCAGTTACCCTATTGAAACGGGCATTAAAATCGCCCAAAGAAAATTCTCCTCCAGGAATTGGACTTCCAAATCCATTAAATGCACCTGCAAACCTCAGCCACAAACAGGAGCACAGTTTGAACTGCCCAGGGTATGTCACCTGCCCCATGTGGTGCTTGATCATAAACAATTGTAAAACTTTGAGAACTTTAAGAAAAATCAATCTGCAAGGAACCCCCAGATGAAAATGGTCTCAGCACAGAATCCTCCTGCTCCAAACCTGCAGGAATGAGCAAGAAATAAGTCTTCAACAATTCAGTATTCCAGTCAGCTGGGTTTTGCTTTATTAAGCCCTCATCTTTTCAAGCAAGCAGAGCTGGTGCTGCCTCCTCTTGGAGACATGAGCATGGAGGTAATGGCAAGGGAGGCTTTGCCAGAGGCAGTGGATAGAGGCAAAGTTTGGTATTGATTGGAATCATCTTGTGCAGGAGCTTGTTTCAGCCCAAGGACGCAAAGGGGGAAGCCCAGCTGCAGCCAGTGGGGATAGAAGCAGGCTGGAATGCCTCCTCTAGGGGTGGATCATGGCAATCATCTGGGAGCTGTGGCCCTGCCTGTGCTGTGTCATTGCTGGCACAGTCCATGTGCTCCTCGGGGCAGGTCAGGCTCAGCCTTCAGGCTGGGTTCCAAGTTGCTCTTTGCCTCTTTAAAGCAGAAACTGTGGCCAAAGGCAGCAGCAGGCTCAGAAATGCTCTTCTGTGGCCGACCTGGCCCTAAAGGGAATAAAGCCAGGCTGATGAGTCTGACAGGCACCTCTGGCAGTTCCTGTGGGACAAGGTGGATTCAAGTGCCTGGTCAGAGCTGCATCCCTTCCTCCTGCTGTCTAAAGGGCAGCTGGTTTTGGTATCCTGAAAATATTAGCCCTGTACATCTGTCCTGTGGCTTGTCTCATTCTGCTTCAAACTCCAGCAGAAATGTGAAGCCTGAGGTGGCTGGGATGAGAGTGTGGAGACAAGCCAAGACAGCAGAGTTCCCTCTGGAGCTGGATCCCACTGCAGGTGTAGAGGGAAGAGTGCTTGAGTCTGATGCATGAAACTGAGCCCAACAAAGCCAAGCATGTGGCCAGTCCTGCCTGTGGCTCTGGCTGTTGGCTGCAGGTGCTTTATGCCAGACTCTGTTTCCAGTGTGGGCAGTAAGGAGGGTGCAATTCCTTGTGCAGTTGTCCTGCTGGGCACACGGAGAAGTGGCAAGTGCTTGTGGATAACCTGCTAGTGCAGCCTGAGCCTCGTGGGATTGCAGGCTGCGGACACTTGTCCAAGAAATCAAGTACAAGTTGTTCCCAAGTTTATCCCTCTGCTGCTTTGGTGGCATCACTGATGTTCTGGCATTGCACAGAGAAACAGTGCAAGAGCCTTTTCCTGGCCCTGATCAGTAGGGCTTTTCCTTCCCAGAACTGGAAAATCTGATGTGCTTGTGCTCTGGAGATGGAGAGCCTGGACTCACCCCTTGATTGCTCTCTGGCCTAACAGATGAGTCTTGATTCCTCCCACAGGGGGAATTTTTCTCCTGAGACTGGTCAAAAAAACGTTGCAGCCCAGCTGCAAAGCAGAAGCAGGAATTCCTGATGGCCCAGAGCTGCCCAGCTTCCAAAGAAACCTCATTTCTACTTTGTTGTTTCCAAAAGCTGCTCATAGCTGAGACTGATGGAGCGTTTAAAAAGCAACCAGGGAAGCAACTTCTGCAGCCTGACACTGTGTCCTGCATTTCTCAGTGGGTCGAGAGTTGGTTTATTTTCAAAGGAAGCATCTTTCTTGCTTCCATTTTATGTTTTCCAAACTTTTCTCATTAGATCTGGTATGGTAATGATCCTAGTCTTTCCCCTTTACATTCCTCATTTGTTGTGGGCCTCCTAGATACAGGAGATTGTGTCTTTTTTCACTTTTCATTTAATTTATGTGGCTACCTTCTAAATAATCGTCATGTTGAAAAAGCTGAGTAATTTTACTTAATCTGATAAATTCTGAAATGTTGAAAGACTCATAAGGAAAGGGGAAATAAAGAGTAAAATTCAAATAAACTTTGCATTTAATCAGATGCTTCTTTGTATATTTTAGTAAACTGCAAACTGAAATGCTGGGGATTCACTGGTTTTCCATTGCAAACTAAAATGGCAGCAGGCATTATTTTGCATAGGATTGCAGAAAATGATATGCTTTGGATTTAAGCCTTGTGTTGCTTGAAAATGATACCGGTAGATGTTTACCTGCAGCTCTAATATGCTTTCCTTGCACAGTGTTAGGTTAGCAAACCTGGCTTGTAATGGTGGCAGAGAAAGCCACAGAAGCTGCTTCTCAGGGGGAGGCTCCTCCAGACCTGTACTATGTCCAGCAGAGGCAATCCCTAAAGGCTCTGATGATTGGCATATGAGGTGGCCCATTTAGAGAAGTTAGCAATGCCTCTGCGATGACATATTCAAGAATGGAAAAAGGCGTGCAATTCCTCTTTCCCTTTCCCTGGAGAGATGGTGGAGCCACTAGTCCCCTTCCCAAGGGGAGCTGCTGGGCCCTTTCCTGGAGGGGCTGCTGTGCCATTCCACTGGGGGCAATCCTGGCACCGCGAGTGGCCTTGAGGCTGAGGCCGGGAGTGCCCAGGGCCAGGAGCTGCTGCTGCCTTCGTGGTCCAGGAGAGGCCACACGGTTGGGACCGCACAGCCGGGGCGGTGCCACACGGCCGCTGCCATCGCAGCATGGCTCACAATGAACTGTCCTTGCTTAGCCGATTTTAGCCAGCCATGCTGCAGACAGAAGGGCAGACACGGCAGCAGCAACTTTTCCTTGTTGGTGCCTCACCTGAGGAGAGAAGTTAAATGGAACTGATGACCGGTGTGGCTTGTGCAGTGCCGTTGTGGACCACACGAATAGCAGCGAACGGCATGGTGAGCAATTCCCCGATGCGGAGCCCGGACAGGAGTAACCTTTCAGGGCTCCAGATCTCTATAAAGTTTTCCAGTTGATAGAGCTTGAAAACAAAAGAACCTACAGACACCAATTCTCTCCTGAATCAGAGAAAAGAAAAAGATGAACACATAAAAGGAGAACAACATGGTGACACTAAGGTTGGTGCAAAAGAGGAAAGAGGAGGAGGAAGTGCGTCGGAACCCAGGACACCCCTCTGGGTGACCAGGATGGCTTGAGCCCCTGGTAGGGGGCTGATGAGCCCTGGCAGAAGGCCAAAAACACTTGGGGATTTGATCTTAGCCCCTGGGAGAAATTACTAACCTTGTATGAAGAGTCACAGGTCACAAAAGTCTAAGTAGCATAGTAGTAGTAAGCACGGGGTGAAGGAAAAATTTTGGAACCATGTAGAGGGGGGTTTAGAACCTTGTGCAGGGGGTGTTTGGGATTCTGTACGTGGGGGTCAGGGGTCCAAGATGGAGGGATTTGGGCGTGCCCTGTCCTTCTTATTTCTTTTCCCTGGCATCCATGTTCAGGATGATGTTGGCACTCACAGACTGGTTTAGAGTAGAAAGTCACTGTCTAACATAGGTGATAGGTATTGCAACATAATTGTAAACGTAGTATACGTAGTTTTTAGTATAAAAGATAGCACCAGCCAGAGAGGTGGAGAGTGTGTGCCTCAGAATGACCTGCCAGACAGGCTTGTGGCGGGCCGGAGAAAAAACATCTTAGACAAGCAACAATAAACGAACTTGAGAACCACAAATGAACAACTCCGACTCTTTCTTTGACCATTGGGCTGGCTTGGGGTCATCCCAATGACAGGGAACCTGAGAGAAGTGCTCCGAGCATTGGAGCTGAGATTCTTCTGCAAGGCATAGGGACCTGATATTATGTTGTTTGACAAAGCTTATAATTCATGAAATGCATGGGGCTGATGCAGAATTCACCCACATCCCATGAGAAAAGGGCGCTCGTGCTGGAACATGTGGATGCTGAGAAGCTGTGATTGGGTGAGAGGCTTGAACAGAGAGAAGGAAATAAAGTATTTCTGTGGCTGCAGCGAGATTTCCTAAGAAGAAGTTTGCATTTGGCTGGCATAAAAAAAGGCAGCTTGAACCCTTGAGACACCCCTAAAGAAGGGATGTGTGGGCAGAACCTGTTCTCACCTCACTGGGTGAGTGAATCCATGGCCTTCTCCATGGAAAGAGCTCCTTGTCCATGGAGTCCATCTGACCCAAATCGAGGGTGAGGGCTCACTTGTAACCCCTGACCTGAGAGGGAACTTTCTCCCATTTCTGATGTTGTCACTTGCCCCAGAGCCTCTTTGGGCACTGACAGCCCTGGGCAAGTGTCACATGAAAATTGATGGGGTAAAGGAAATGCGAGTTCTTTACCTTCCTGGGGGTGAAGAAGGTGGTGTGGGGCTTCCTACTCTTCTCCATCCTCTGCCTGGCGGATCTCTGGATTCTCTTTGGTGTCATCCTCATGATCTGTGGCTCTGGAGTGAAGACCCCTCTGTTGTGGCTTCAGGCGCATGGTTTCCTCGTGGGCCAAGGAAAGTGTGAAGCCCTCGAAGTAATTCACCTGGAAATCCCCTGGTGGGAAGAGATTCCAGCTCTCACTGCTTGTTGCTCAACTGCCAGGTCTGCAGCAGCAGCAGCAGCAGCAGGTATGACCTGGGCTGAGTGGAAATCAGGGATACTGATGACCCCAGGGCTCAGGCATCAGCAAACATTGCTGCTGTGTGCATCAGGAGCTTATCAAACACCACAGAGGGCACCTGAGCCTGCACTTGCGTCTGGAGGTCCTGGGGCCTGTGTTCCCTGGGAAAAAGCTCTGTTGTGCCTAGAGAGGCAGTGAAAATGGGAGTGTGGCTCCAGAGGCAGCTTGAGGAGAGAATACAGTCAGAGAGCTGGAAGGTCAGGAAGGCAGCGGCGCAATCCTTGGGGCAGATGTCGTATTCGCCGGCGAAGGCAGAGATGGTGATGGTGGTGCGGGACACGAAGTCGGCTCTCCACATGGCCAGCTCCCCGTCCAGGTAGCGCTGGGAGACAGAACAGGGAGCCCTGAGCCTTCCCCTCGCAGGGAGAGCAGCGTTGTTCACACAGGCAAACGTGGGCCTTGTTCTCCAGCCAGGCCCACACCAGACTGAGGTTCTGGGGCCCTGCAGATCCCCTTCCAGGGAACTGCTCCACATGCTGCTCCTGGGCACCAGGTCCACACCTGCCCTACTCCCTTCCCCCTAAAAATCTACAGCAATGAAACTGGGTGGAAAGTGCTGCAGAAAGGAGCTGAGGAAGGGACAGGGGCAATGGACAATTCAGTGAGAAGCTCAGTCCTGTCTGCAGTGAGGTCAGATTTTGGGGCCTTTGTCTTCTCTCTGCAGACACTGTGGGAACGCAGCTTTGAGCTTCATTGGTGAGAAATCCAGGTAGAAACATCCTTAATGCCACCTCTGGACAAAGGACAGAGGCTGGAGGGGCCCTGGGCCTGAGCTGTGACAGGGTCTCCAGGCCACAAAGCTACTCACCACCCCACGGAACGTTGGAGGGAAAAACCCAAAATACAGCGGGAGGAAGCAGCTGCACGTCACAGCCTGTGGGTGAAATGGGAAGGATAGAGGTGAGCAAAGAGCCGTGGAAACTGTTGCCTTTGGGAGGGGTGACTCATCTGTGAGTGCCAAAACAGGGTACCCCAGCTGGGGTATTTGGCATCACTGACTAATGGGGACCAGATCTCGTCTGATACCCACAGCTAGGGCAGAGAAGTAGGAAGGAAACCTTGTGGAGGCCTCAAATTGCTGTCTGCTTGTTCAGGATAACTGAGACAGCAATCAAAAGGGCTGATTTCTTAAAATTATTTCAGCTTGTCTGGCTTCAGAGGGTGGCAAGGACAGAAATCATGGCATGGACTAGAATGGACCAGGGCCTGTTAGGATACAACAATGGGTAGTGGTTTCTAACTACAAGGAGGGGAGATTTAGGAAGAATATTGGGAAGATATTTTTTGCCATGAGGGTGCTGAGGCCCTGCGCATGGTGCCCAGAGCAGCTGTGGCTGCCCCATCCCTGGAAGCATCCAAGGCAAGGTTGGACGGGCCTTGAGACCAACCTGGGACAGTGGAAGGTGTCCCTGGCCATGACAGGGTGGAACTGGATGAGCTTTAAGGTCCCATCCAACCCAAACCATTTTGTGATTTTGTGCTGTGGGACATGGCCAGGTAGCAAAAGTCACCCAGCTCCTCCCTCACGGGGTGGCTGTGGCTGCTCCCACCTGAATCAGCTCCTCCTTCGAGGGAAACTCGGACACTCTCACACTTCTCCAGTCGTGCAGGCGGGTGAGGATAATGTGCAGCTTTCCAGACACCAGCTCGTGGGCATTCGGAGGCAGGAATTTGTGTAAGGCCTCCCGTAAGAGTCTAAGTGCTGCTCCTCCAGTAAACAGCCCCCAGAGAGAGGTTTTCAAGTGAATGAGGATATACTCCTTTATCTCATCTGAAGCAAAGCAAGAAAAGCAATGCAATCATTCTATATCACTTATATTGTTATTTATGTACTTTCTGAGGTAGTCTTCCACCTGTGTAAGGGGTATTTTATCTGACTGCTAAGTGCTCATTTAGAATCACTGTGTTTCTTTAGGGCTGAAGCTCCAATGTGTGGACCCAATATTTTCAATATTGCAGGAGGCAGAAGTATTTTGTTTTATTTTCCCATTTTCCCCATTTTCTGCACAAGGCATATTAAAATTTGTTGGACATATGGGAGAAAATGGATAGGAATCTTTTGTATAATGTGTTTTCTTTCCCCTCACTTTTTGGGAACCTACCAAGAATCCCAAACGCCTTATTACAGAGAGCAACTCTCTTTCTGTTATTAGATATGCTTGCCATTAATTCCAGTTAATGATCATATCTATTCTGTTTTCTCTGTGCTGCTTACTTTACCCATGTTTTACACTCTAAAAGAAGTCAATAAAGTAAAAATCTGAGTAATTAATTACTGATAATCAAAAAAAAATCTTTTGCAACTCTAAATATTTCCAGATATTCCCAGGTATTCCATATCTTTATACAGAAAACATGCAGAAATCTGTAGCCCTTACCCATATCACATCCACACAATCCGACTGTAGCTATAATAGATCCTGAAGACGCTCCATAGATCCTGTATGCAGATTTCATTATGTCAGGAGACAAGTCCTGCAAAGCAGATAACACTCCAGCTTGGTACAAAGTTAAGAAACTACCGCCTCTAAACAGAATAGAGTAAGGTCTTCCGTCTTTTCCACTTATTTTCAGCATCTCTGCTAACTGCAAGCACCCCAACAATAAGAAAACAGCTGCCCAACAGCTTCAATGGTTTCTCCAGAGCTGGCCAAACCTCAGCTGTGCTTCTCTTTCCAACCAAACAGACTCTCCCAGTCTTATATGCCTTTGTTTGGCATAAACCTCTGAGCCAAAGGTCCAGTGAAACAGCAGCAGTGGGCAGAAGTGGATGATGTGATGTCCTAATGCTCATTAAAATAAGATTACTGCAATGTAGAGTGCCTGAGGTGAGCACTGGCAGCCCCAGGCGATGGGGACAGCCACATGTCACACTGATGTGTTGGGGGAGCAGCCCAGGGGTCTGGTGTGCTCCAGGACTGAGTCTTTGGGAGGGAGAAGCCGCTTCCCAAAGTGCTGAACTGCTTCAGTGATACCCTAGAGTTCCAGCACAAAATTCCAGCACAAACTCTCTTGCCCCATTTGCAACAGGTTGCCAAACCCCATCACAGCGATTGGAGAAGGTGATCGGGTTACTAAAGAAATCACAAGCCAAGTAGTTTTCCTTGTTTCACAATCTCAGGGCCTGAATTTGCTTACAGAAGGGTAAAAATACAGAGTCCAGGTAAGAACTCATGGTTTCACCTGCCTCCTACATGGCTGAGGTAATAGTAGAGCAACCAGTAAGTAAAGAAGGAAAGAAGGGGGAAAAAGGCTGACGAATGCAGAGATTTATTGTTTATTCATATAGAAATGCAAAACCTTCTTAGTATTCCAGCTGGGTGAGCCTTTGGGAGGCTGCTGGTGGGGAAAGCAGTGCTGACAGCTGGGCAAGGCAGAGGCAAGTGGCCAGCACAGACAACAGCAACTTGGCCACCCCTCTTCTGATATACACAGAAATCTACCCTACATCTTCAGGCAAAATGCTTCCAAAGCCAGCAGGAGATGCTTCTCTGCCTCTGGCTGTGTGCCGGGGCAGTGCTGGAGGGATTTGGATGCAGCCCTGATCTCTGGGAGGGGGCTGCAAAACAGCCCTGAGGATGACAGAGCAGCTGTGCTGGACATGCTGGGGCTGGCAGGGCTGTGGGCTCCACTAACCCCAAAGCATCAGCCCAGGGTTAATCCAGCCCCAATTCCACATGGGAGCAGTGTCTGCCACCACCCAGGAGCCAAGGCACTGAGCTCCTTGCACACACCTTGCAGGTCCTGCTGCTGAGCAGCAAAATAAAACTGAAGACTCGAGACAAGAGGGATAAATAGATTCCATGCCTAATCAAGAGGACAAATGCAGTGGAAATAATTCCCCATCTGTTCTTCAGTGCAAGGATCCCCTCTAAGAATTGACTGCAAAGAGAAGAGTCAAACTTCAGAAGCAGCTTCTAGTGCAGGAGGGAATGGCATTTGGGAATGCATGGGTGAGGCACACAAAGCTCTTGAGCCTGAGGAAAACCTTTATGGCCACTTGCCTGGCTTGGGGAAAATATCAGCACCAGTCTTGTAGAAGCACCAGCATTCCCAGTGCTTCAAGCCTTGGGTTCAAACCTCCTGCCCTCAGTCAGCAGTGAAAGAGGGAACTAGAAATGTGACCCATTATTATTGCACTGCTTTCCAAATACAGCTGGCGAGCTCTGGCACGCCAATCCCAAACCAAACCCATGGGTCACGCCACACAGGCCATGTTTTACTCTCAGTTGCACCTCTGCTCAATCCCTTTGTTTTTACCTTCTTACCCAATCTTGCAGCACCAAGAAGTAAACAGTGTTTATCATGGAAAAGCAGAGGGAAGCCACGAGTGCACCTGCTTATTCCCTCCTAGCAGGTAGTGCCACGTCTCCCTTTCAAAGCCTTGGACTGTCCCTGGTGTCTTCCAAAAGGAGGAAGGAGTTAGGAAAAAAAATTTGGATGCAGTTTGTGTCAGAGTGAGGTAGCCAGGGCTCCAGAAAAGGTGGGGCTTGGAAAGAAGCAATGCAGGTGACCTGAGTAGGAGTGACCCAGGTGACATAAACAGTGATTGGGAAATGCTGCTGTGGAAATGCAAAGGTGTTTCTTGGCCCCTCTGTGCCCTGCCCCAGTGTGGGACATAGGCTGTGTGTGTCCCTGAGTGATGCCCTGTGTTTTAAGTCTGTTGTTTTACCAGGGCAAACACCCTCGTGGCATTTGGCATTTCCCCATCACTGGGTCAGAAAGCACTGTGAGCCCAGGGACCCTGCTCATCTGTCCCTCTTGTCTTCTTCCTGGCTTTGGGGACAAAGCCAAACTTGTCCTTGGGCAAAGAGACCATCCAGTGTGGGCCACTTTGGAGCTCCATTCGGCAACTGAAACAAAGGATCCTGTGTGCCTGACAATGCAGGGCAATAGCCCAAATAGGATCTTCCTCCTATGGGATTCAAATGAAGCAGGAGCCACCTCAGCTGCTCAGCCAGGACACAGCAGGGACAGGCTGGCACCTGCCAGGAGGTCCTCTCACCTCCCCAGGGTGGGGATATTTATCCTCTCCTGCACCTGAGAAAAACAGGAATAGCCATGTCCTAGATGTTTTTACACACAGCCACAGCTCTGTTCCCCTTAGACAGTGTCTAGTGCTTAAAATGCACCTCCCTGGATGAGGGAGCTTTTGCTGGCCAGGGTTCAGGGCAAAAGGCAGCAGTCAGGAGGGGCCAAGCTCATTCAAGCTGTGCACAGGGCCCTCTCCAAAATGTCCTGCTCCAAACATTCTCGTAGCAGTGCTCAGCACTGATCTCAAAGCCCCAGGACAACTGAAAAGGTCCCTGCAGACCAGGAAGAATTTGGAACCCTAACACGGGTGATGCAAAAGGCACCTGGAAAAAGGCACTTAATGACTGCAAGGTGCTGAAGTGGGGAGGGCTTGTGGATGCCAGGAAAGCAAAGCTCCTGGGAGATTTCCAGCACAGGGGCAGAATATCCCTCTCAGAGTGAGCAGGGATTGCCTTAGGTTGTATCCTCTGTCACAGTTCCTGGAACAAAAGGGTGCTTTGGCTTCAGTTTCCATCAGCAGCACTGTGCCAACACCAAAGGATTTACCAGTCCTGCTGCCCCACACACCAGCCTAGCCTCAGTGCCCCCTGCTCCCGTGGAGAAATGGAAACAGCCTGTGATGCTGCAGGGTCCAAAACAGGGAATCTGACCATTCCCTACAGCGACAGCAGGGGGAGAAAAAAGGGCTGAGGGGCAGAAAGCCACCAATGCAGAAAGCCAAAAGAGCAGTTCTGTTTTGGGTTGAAATCTTCCATGTAAGAGCCTAATGTTAGCAAAAACCAGTTTGTGTTTCTCACCTTCATGAAAGCTGAGTTTTATTATTTGTGTCTAAACAGTCTGTGATTAATCAAGGAGTTTCCATGGCACCTCCCCAGTTTAGTGCACTGGAACAGGAGCAGAATAAAGGAGTGGCTCTGGCAGGGGTCTGAACTTGCCCACACTGGGGCCTTGCTCACCTGTGTGTGCTCACCTGGGCTCCTCAGTTGCCTCTTGGCTGGTCCATGTTTCCTCACATCCCAGTGGCTGCCTCCACAGCAGGAAGGGCTGTCACTGGTCCAGGGAGCACATTCCCACCCTTGCCTTCCCACCAGGAGACAGATTTTAGCAGAGCTGACAACATGAGCGACGTTTTTGCTGCTGATGTCCCTGACAACCTTTTGTCTAAATAGGAAAGGAAAGAGTGGGAATGATCCACCCTGGACCTTGCCTCACTAATCGGTATTTCTGTGGCTTTGGCAGCTCCCAGAACATGCCCCAACACACTTATCTTTCCTTCTGCCAGGAGCGTGGTACATGAACCTCCAGCCTATCCTGCGCTCAGCACGAAGGAGAGAAACCTTTTCCCTGTTCCCATGACAAACACCTCATCTGGGGACATGAGGTGGTGATGTCACTGCCCAGGGCAGCTGCGTGATGAAACGCTGACTTCAGCACGGTGACTTCACCCTGCTCTGGAGCAGTGCCTGGTGCTCCCAGCCAAGGGCAGGGCTCTGCAGGACAGACCTTCCTGCTCAGCTGCACCCCCGGGCAGAGAGCACCAGGAAATGTTGGAGCAGATCACCTCCAGCTGGAAGGAGTTCTGGCAGGCACAGCTTCATTTCAGGCCAGAAGAGATTCCTTAGCCTTGCCAGACTCTTAGGATCACCCTGTAATACCACTAAGACATTTCAGATGTAGAGAATGGTTTGGCCTGGAAGAAACTTTAAACCATACCCAGTTCCACCCCTGCCATGGCAGGGATACCTTCACTATCCCAGATTGCTCCAAATCACGTCCAACCTGGCCTTGAAATAAGAAACACACCAGACACAAGCAGGAGCCCTGTGGGACAGGCACAGCTGGCTGCTGGGTCAAAGGAAAAAGGAAAAAGTTCATCCTAGTTCATTTATACCCAAGTCACAGCCTGGGAGTCTCTGGTGCAGGGGCTGCTGCTCAGCAGCAGGAGGATGATGCTCCTACAGAATTGTGGAATCATCAAATCATGGAATGGTTTGGGCTGGAAGGGACCTTAAAACTCATCTCATTCCACCCCCTGCCAGGGGGAAGGTCACCTTCCACTAGATCAGGTTCCTTCAAGCCCTGTCCAGCCTGGTCTTGCTCCAGGTGCTCTCTGGGGAAATCTCTATTCCCAGGATTAATCGCCATTCCCTGGATTAACCCCTTTTTCCTGGGTTCAGGTACTCCTGGTAAGGGCCCGCGTCTCGCACTGCTCTGAGGGCTCGGCCGTTCCCGCTCCCAGGGCTGTGAGGGCTCGGCCGTTCCTGCCCCCGTTGCTCTGAGGGCTTGGCCGTCCCCATTTCCAGGGCTGTGAGGGCTCGGCCATTCCCGCCTCCGTTGCTGTGAGAGTTCGGCCGTTCCGGATCCCAAGGCTGTGAGGGCTCAGCCGTCCCCATTTCCAGGGCTCTGAGGGCTCGGCCATTCCCGCCTCTGTTGCTCTGAGAGTTCGGCCGTTCCTGCTCCCATTGATCTGAGGGCTCGGCCATTCCCGATCCCAAGGCTCTGAGGGCTAGGCCGTCCCCATTTCCAGGGCTGTGAGGGCTTGGCCGTTTCCGCCCCCGTTGTTCTGAGGGCTCGGCCGTTCCCAATCCCAGGGTTGAGGGCTCGGCTGTCCCCGTTTCCAGGGCTGTGATGGCTCAGCTGTCCCCATTTCCAGGGCTGTGAGGGCTTGGCCGTTTCCGCCCCCGTTGTTCTGAGGGCTCGGCCGTTCCCAATCCCAGGGTTGAGGGCTCGGCTGTCCCCGTTTCCAGGGCTGTGATGGCTCAGCTGTCCCCATTTCCAGGGCTGTGAGGGCTTGGCCGTTTCCGCCCCCGTTGCTCTGAGGGCTTGGCCGTTCCCAATCCCAGGGTTGAGGGCTCGGCCGTCCCCGTTTCCAGGGCTGTGATGGCCCAGCCATTCCCGCCCCCGTTATTCTGAGGGCTCGGCTATTCCCGTTGTTCTGAGGGCTCGGCCATTCCTGTGTCTCTGAGGGCTCCGCTGTTCCTCCTGCCTGCACTCCTGCCCTTTGCCAACTTGGCAGCCACGGCAAGTGTCAGCCCTGCACATTCGTCATGGGAGCCTTTAGAAACTCAGGTAAGGCTTCTTAATTTGTAGCAATTGCTATTAATAAAGATTTTTTTTTTGCATGATGTTACAATCTCTCTGCACAGCCCGGACCATGTCTGAACGCAGATGATGAAGCTGGGCCTGTTGTCACAAACACCTACTGAGTGCTGGTGCTCCCAAATCATGGAAGATTTAGAGAATCCCAGACAGGTTTGGGTGGGAAGGGGCCTTAAAGCTCATCTCCTTCCACTTCCTGCCATAGGGTGAGGATAAGGATATGTTTGAGCAGATCACCGTCAGCTAGAAGGTGGTTGGGCAGGTACAACTGAATTTCAGCTGAGAAGAAATTCCTTAGCCTGTGTGGACCCTTAGGATCACCCTGTTATACCAGAAAGAGACTTGAAAAGTAGACCACAGAATCCCAGAATGGTTTGGCTTGGAAGGGACCTTAAAGCTCATCCTGTTCTATGTTGAAAAAGCTGAGTAATTTGCCGTAAATTCTGAAATGTTGGAAGGCTCATAAGGAAAGAGAGAGAGTAAAATAGAAATAAATATTACATTTAATCAGATGCTTCTTTGTGTTTTTTTACTAGCAACTAATAGCAAACTGAAATGTTGAGGATTCAGTGATTTTCCATGTAAAACTAAAAAGTGACTGGCCATTATTTTGAATATGATTGCAGAAGATGGTAAGTTTTGAATTTAAATCTGCTTTTGTTGCTTGAAAATTATACAGCAACAAGTTTACCTGCTATACTAGTATACTTTCCTTGCATAGAATTAGTATTTCTGTGGCTGCACTCAGAGTTCCTAAGGAGAAGTTTGTGATTGGCTGGTGCAGCAAAACAGCTTGAACCCTTGAGATACCACTAAAGAAGGGATGTGTGGGCAGAACCTTTTCTTCCCTCACTGGGTGAGTGAATCCATGGCCTTCTCCATGGAAAGAGCTCCTTGTCCATGGAGTCCATCTGACCCAAATCGAGGGTGAGGGCTCAGTGTGAGGCCTCACTTGTAACCCCTGACCTGAGAGGGAACTTTCTCCCATTTCTGATGTTGTCACTTGCCCCAGAGCCTCTTTGGGCACTGACAGCCCTGGGCAAGTGTCACATGAAAATTGATGGGGTAAAGGAAATGCGAGTTCTTTACCTTCCTGGGGGTGGAGAAGGTGGTGTGGGGCTTCCTATTCTTCTCCATCCTCTGCCTGGCGGATCTCTGGATTCTCTTTGGTGTCATCCTCATGATCTGTGGCTCTGGAGTGAAGACCCCTCAGTTGTGGCTTCAGGCGCATGGTTTCCTTGTGGGCCAAGGAAAGTGTGAAGCCCTCGAAGTAATTCACCTGGAAATCCCCTGGTGGGAAGAGATTCCAGCTCTCACTGCTTGTTGCTCAAGTGCCAGGTCTGCAGCAGCAGCAGCAGCAGGTATGACCTGGGCTGAGTGGAAATCAGGGATACTGATGACCCCAGGGCTCAGGCATCAGCAAACATTGCTGCTGTGTGCATCAGGAGCTTATCAAACACCACAGAGGGCACCTGAGCCTGCACTTGCGTCTGGAGGTCCTGGGGCCTGTGTTCCCTGGGAAAAAGCTCTGTCGTGCCTAGAGAGGCAGTGAAAATGGGAGTGTGGCTCCAGAGGCAGCTTGAGGAGAGACCAGGACTCAAGGAATCCTGGCAGTGCCAGGAATACAGGCATTTCTGTGCCCCAGTCACCCTGGGGGAGCATCTCTTTCCTTGTGTCAGCAAACCAAGGAAGTAAGGGAAGCACCCAACCTACCATCCTCCAGGGACCAGCCCGCAGAGAGAGGTTTTCAAGCGGCTGAGGATATACTCCATTAGCTCATCTGAAACAAAGCATGCAAAGCAAAGCAATCATTCTACATCCCTTATATTGTTTATGTACTTTCTGCGGTAGACTTCCACCTAGGTAAGGGGTATTTTACTTGGCTGTTAAATGCTCATTTAGAGCCATTGTTTTCATTATGGCCGAAGCTCCAATATGTGAACCCAGCTTTTCCAAGGACTTCCAATATTGCAGGAGGCAGAAGTATTTTGTTTTCCCATTTCTTCCCATTTTCTGCACATTGTGTCTTAAGATTTGTTGGACATATGGGAGAAAATGGACAGGAATCCTTTGTATAATATTTAGTCTTGTTAGCTCTGCATCTATCCCCTGCTAATGTGTTCTCTTTCACCTCATTTTTTTGGGAATCTGCCACACAGTCCCTAATGCCTTATTTCGGAGAGCACCTATCTTTCTGTTATTAGATTTGCTTGCTTTCTATTCCAGTTTATAAGATACAATGGCTGTCTTCCATGTGCTGCTTAATTTTCATTATTCAAGAAGCCAATAAAGTAAAAATGTGAGTAATTAACCATTAATAATTAAAATTAAATCTTTTGCAACTCCAAATATTTCCAGATATTTCAGCTCTTTATACAGAAAATATACAGAAATCTGTAGCCCTTACCCACATCACATCCACACAATCCGACTGTAGCTATAATAGATCCTGAAGATCCTCCATAGATCCTGTATGCAGATTTCATTATGTCAGGAGACAAGTCCTGCAAAGCAGATAACACTCCAGCTTGGTATACAATCATGAAACTACATCCTCTAAAGAGTATAGAGTAAGGTCTTCCCTCTTTTCCACTTATTTTCAGCATCTCTGCTAACTGCAAGCACCCCAGCAAGAAGAAATCAGCTGCCCAACAGCTTCAATGGTTTCTCCAGAGCCGGCCAAACCTCAGCTGTGCTTCTCTTTCCAACCAAACAAACTCTCCCAGTCTTATATGCCTTTGTTTGGCATAAATCTCTGAGCCAAAGGTCCAGTGAAACAGCAGCAGTGGGCAGAAGTGGATGATGTGATGTCCTAATGCTCATTAAAATAAGATTACTGCAATGTAGAGTGCCTGAGGTGAGCACTGGCAGTCCCAGGCGATGGGGACAGCCACATGTCACACTGATGTGTTGGGGGAGCAGCCCAGGGGTCTGGTGTGCTCCAGGACTGAG